TTTGGGTGATCTGAGTGTACGGTTTTTGGGACGACCTTTTCTAACTTGTCCTTCCTCGGAGGAAGGCAGCATTGCTACTTCCATAAATATGGACTACTGGTAGTCTGGGGAAAACCCCTCACTGTCTTCACACTCCTATCGCAGGGGACAGTACAACTTTTCCTCTTGCAGCACGGGAACTCGCTGATCTTCATCGGGCTGCTCTCCTTTGGCCTTCCTGTCATGGTTGAACTTTTAGGAACAGAATTCCAGCCAGTGTAGCCTGCAGGATGATTGCAGCACAGAAGCCCGACCACTCCGACAAGGTGACAGTTTTAGGTCGGGCTATTTTCATGAGAACACGCGCATCTTGAAGTAACGACGGTTGTTTTAAAATTTCCACCTGTGCTCTGATCAACTATAGCTCCGATTCCTCGAGAAAAATGCTGGGAAATAAACACCCTTTCGTCCTCCATGAATTGCTGAAATATAATCTCAATCGCTGGGGATTTCATTGCACATGTGCGGCAATTCGGTCCATCTGAAACGCAACTCCTGTTGGCAATGGTAGAGTCCTTTACAACTTAGCACTGACCGCTAGTTCCTTAGGGGAACCGTCGCGGTGGACGCCGTTTGCTACTTGACACCTCTCTGCTATTGAGCAACCGTGGATCCAAATCGATCAAGGGGCCAGGAGCTGCTGACAGCAAATCCCAGTACTAGGCTGCCTATCATTCGGGAATGTATGTGTTAGTTTAGGTTACATCGTCGCTCGCTGTATGTTTTAATTGAATTCTCAGTTCGGTTTTTCAGCTGACAAACAGTGCAGCGAACTGCAGTGGCTCCGGCTTCTACAGCTAGCTCAATGTTAAATATCTGAGAGCTGTGTCAGTGAATCATCATAACAAAACCGGTGACAGCATCTGTTATCGAGCTAATCAAAGATAATATTGGAGATCTAAAACGGTAGATCTAGGTCTAGACCGCTCGCTTCCCAGCGTCCACTTGTTTGGTGGTCGGTCCGTATACTAAGATCATTCACTTTACCCGTGGTCTGTGAGTTTAGATTCCTCCTCAGTTTATTAGGTACTAATATGTTTTTCTGCTGTGAAGCGCTGTCGAGCTGTTACACAAAATGAGGCCCCGTCAGCACTGCCCAGAGCAAGTTATCTGGCCTCATCCCGTGACAAGAAAGTATTCTACACAGCTGGGACCAATAACTCAGTCTGCCTTTATCTAGAAGAGTTTTCCGAAACGAATGCTTCAGCCACATTGGTATCAGTGACACGCGCTTCACAACATAGAACTGGCTCAACTAATACTGGACACACAACCGCGGCACGTGAGACGCTATTTCTAAAACATCAGGCAAGATTTCGTTCAGGTGGGGTTGCATTGTTCACATTTTCATACCGTGTCTGGATGGCGCCACACCTACCGCCGGCCAATAGTGGTCTTCGTGGGCTTCAAAGGAGCCTTTGACTGCGTTGATACTTCATTTCTCCTACTTGTACTTAACTAAAATGGTACGTCTTCAAAGTTTGTTGTCTGTTCCCACACTTCTGGTCTTCCGAAAATTCACACTGAACTGTCTGAAAAATTTTCCTACAGCTAATACGGTTCGGCAATGACATCTTCCACCCACGCCTTTTGTTCAATTCCGATACCACTGCAATCATGAGATGAACGTTTCAAGATATTGAGAATCTTCGCAGCGAAAGTGCATGCGGAGAAAAACTAGTTGATATGAACTATGCGGACTACATTGTTTTGTTGTGTGACTGTCTTCGGTCCTCACAGAAAGTAATATCTTGTTTTAGTATTGATTACGAAGCATTGTCTCAGTCTTTTCAGTTCCACTGCGTGTCTCTTAGGCTTCAGAGATGAAAACTTCAGTCTGTTGTTAAGTTCCCCTCTCTTTGCGTCTGCAAAAAACCATGGCTGTCTTGTGAGAGAAGCACATGCACGCGTTTTCGTTACAAATTCGCCTCACTCATGGCCTCAAAAACGAGTTTCAGGGAAGCTAGTGAGTCGCATGCACAAGACTTGCTTAAGGGCAGTGGGACTTTTTGATTATGATACTTGGTCTGTTTGGACCATAAACGCTTGCAAGCTTTTGATCATCGGTGTCTTCGTAGTATAGCCGTTTTCAGCTGGCTGCAGTTCGTTGGTAATAAAGTTGGCGCGGTAATGAGTACTTGGTGATGAATCACAGTTATCGAAACAGCAACTACAGGTCACTAGGCGTGGTTGGTACATGCACGATACATGCATAAACACTATCTACCATAGAAAGCGCTGTTTCCCACTCTAAACCGAAAAAGCCTTTGGGTGCAATAGCTCTAAAGTGCCAACGTAAAATGAAGATGGTTACTGTTGAACTAAGTGCTGTGGTATCTTTGCACATTCCTGATTGGGACGGTACCAGTGACGAGCAAGCAACCGGAATACTTATCTAAGGTTTATCCATCATCGTATGCTGGGCTCTTGTTGCCTAGGACCCACATATGACGTTAGATCAATCCAGTTGATAACATTTCAGCTACGACCGTCCTGTTGTTATTGGAAGGTATGAGCATCTTGATCGTCTTCCTTTAGGATATAAGGCTGTTTGAACTAAGTCCCCGTAACGCAGTGAAGCGCTATTTTTCTCCCGTGATGTTGTCAGTTCTGATGGTTGTGGCGATAATCGTGATTCCTATGACGGTGCTGCTGTTGCCGCCAAGTCCTCATCTTTGTTCTTTCCTTCCACTCTTTGCGAAGACATTTTCCGCTGTGGTGTATGGCATTTAAACGCCATTGTTCGCCGCTGGTATATTTCTATCTGTGGTGGTGGTGATGGCTTGGCCGTTATGGGAAGGAATTTGGGGTGAGAGGATGAGGAAAGAGAGAAAACGCTGGAATTTTTCCAAGTAGAGAGAAATACACAAGTGGAGGAAAAACGATAGTCTGGAGACATTGTGCGAATTAATGGTTGTAAGCCTGTCTCCTGGCCCTCAAATATTAGGAGACTATAGCCCAACAGACTTTTCGAGTAGTAAATTTGTTTAGGAGGCTGTATGCTAATGATTTTGTAAATGGGAACTGTACTGTGTAGAAGTGAGTAAAGGGGGTGTTTAGTAAAAACAATTGGGTGAAGGTTGCAGTTTTCTCCATGAGGACAAACTGATTGCGTCAGAGCCAGATATATCTCAGGTCATCAATAGGATTAATAAAGTACATGACGTTTCTGTCAAACTAGAGCATTCCTGGAGTAGCTAACGATATGGTCACATATATCGTTCCAGAATATTCTGCATAAGGCAGGTATTGACGGAGGGACGATGGTTAAGTGAGAGCGTTATAGAACAGGTTAGTCACAAGAACCATGAAACAATAAGCTGGAACGACATGATGTAAGAAAAAGATCAAGGATGTGCATACTGTCTGTCTTCACTATGAGTGTGTGTTAGATATGAGACGAATTATGAGACTATTTAGAAGACAGAATGAGCACACCTCATGGGGATCACCCAGTTCTGTAAGGTTGCGAATTTCAAAGTCAGAATTCGCATCCATATTCGATTGAGTCAAAGAGGCCCATGTAGTTGGAAGTAACTACTGGGGGGACAGTATATGCAGTATAAACACTCGTTCTTCATTGAAAGATTGGAATTGGTATGACGTGATGAGCAAATGCACAACGATCGGAGGAATTCAGTTGTGCAGCTGCCTGAACCTGAGCACAAACCCCTTCATTGAAATGAAACTACCAAGATAGAACAGGAAATTAAGGTGTTTCATGCCAAGGTTGGCAGGAATTTGAGATCCGGTCATAGGAATGACAGTTAAAGGACATGAATAAAAAATCAGTGTAGAGTTAATATTCATTTCGTAAACGCGACTGAACGGCTGATTTGATTTCTGAATTGCGCAAGGAAGGCCAACTTTTCAGTTGTACATGTCATGTTTCTTCGAAAGGAGGGACTGACAATCCAATTCAACGAACTCAATGATTAGGATCCATATTTCCTTCGGTAACAGATATCTGTGGTAGCCTTAGTGGAAGTGGGAACCTTGTCAGTCTGGAGCACCTGGATGACATCATTGAAGGCGAACACAAAGCCCAGGCACAGTTGAATATATGGTAATGATAATTGCGGTCATTTCGAGTTGTATGACATTGTAGCCCCCGAACAACTCTTTTCATCTTTTAATTCCAATTCCCAATTCGTGGTCTTTCTGATTCTGTCAATTGATTCTCTCAAGATTTCATCACTAGTCCCTCCATCTCAGTTGCCCTCAATAATTTTGTATTTTTCTTACTGCTCGTATGACAGTGAGACCTCAGTGTTGAACACTGATGTTGGATTGTCAATGTCTACTGAGTGTCCTGCCAGTCCAAAAATCCGGTTCAGCGTTCCAGTCCTCTTACGGAATATTCTTAAATCTGCTCTCTTGGATCCGTTACTGCTTACTTCCGATTCGCTACGAAAGATTCTGCACATTATTTACTATAGCCCGTTTTCATCTGGCATCCTTCGATGGAGCAGATTCCACCTCTATCCACTACAGACGACACAGCATTTGATACACCAGCCTGTCTGTTGGTGGTAAATGTAATGTGTGGTGTGTGGTAAATGTAATCTAGTCTCCCTTGACTCCCCCCGTTTACTCTGCTTATTTGACCAGCCGTTCCCTCCCGTCTACCGCCCCACAAAATTTTCTGGTAGCTCGCACTACCTTGCTTGCTTCCTTGTATTTGTTGTTGATGGTTTACGCCACCCACGTCTGAACACAATAACTCCCCATTCAAATGTACGCGTTTGAAGTTGAATATTTCCTCTTTGTATTCCAGTGGTTCTGAAACTTCCCCGGCGAACGCTCTGTTTCCCACTCCAATGAATGACGAAGAGGTTGCCAAGCACCTAGATCTTTGTTTAGTGGAGGTCGTAGAGTCTTTCAAACTGTTCGACAGTAAAGATGAGCGCATAAAAAAGTCAGACTTTCTTTATTTCCACAACACTAATTTTTTTCAGACTAAACATTGTTCGTTCTTTGGAGCATATTGGTGAGCAGTGGGTAAGGGAGCTGGCTAGTGATCAGGTATTTCAGTTTCCTTCCAACATCAACTTCATTTAAGATGTATTTCTAGAGACTCACACACCGACTGAATGATAAAGCCGGACTTTGCCGACTACTGGTTCAAGGTTCCGCCGCGCTGGGTATTAGTTCGAGATCTGGAGACATAGATGCAGTGTTGCTCGTGCCTAATTTTGTCGATCGTGATGACTTTTTCAGTTCGTTTCCTTCTTGGTTGAGGAAAAGTCGAGATATATCGGAGCTAGCAGCAGTTCCAGATACGTTTGTACCGCTTATTCGGATAAAGGTATCTGGCATTCAGGTATGCTTCCCGCCTTGCAGCCTTGCGTTTTCATCGTCTGTTTCTTAGACAGTTATCAATTCGAATGATCTTATTTCATGGCCTGTGCACTAAGTCACTACACATTTGTCTTGGTGTCGTTTGTGAAGCCATCTTAACCGAGCCAATGGTTATGACGTGTCTGTCTACACCCCAGTAGTCCTTAGCTTTGATCCTACTAAAGAATGCTTCATTACAACAGGTAAAGTGAGTGCTGTAGTTGTTAGAGGAATGAGAGTGTTTATAGACAGGTTTGTAGCTGCCTTGGCTCAACCATATAGTCTTCTTGAGCTAGATTCTGTGAGCACGACACAGCTGTATGCTGCCAACAAGTAACCAAGCGTCATCATTCGCTGTTGGTAATGATAATGTTAATGGTGATAAGCCGTTTAGAGGCATTGCCAATTTTTGAAGCAACCGAAATTATCTGACGACATGGCGCCCTCGGTTCACGATAAAAACGCTAATTAATGAAATCTCCATAATTTCTATCTGTTTTGGACCATTTAGTGATTCCCGGTGGTTTCTCGAATATTTGGTTCAACTCAGCCTGTGCACTCACTAGTTACTGCTTGTCTTCGCGTTTCTTGGGGATGTGAAAAATGTGCACAACTCGCCCACGACGAAACAAAGCATGTATGCAGGAACTACCTTATTAGACGCCTTTTGACCAGTCTGTGCTCAAAAACAAGCTTATTGGTCGTAGTTTGCAAACCTATGAGCTGTTAGGTATTCCGTTGTGGAAGCAGTACTGTCAGCCGCATGGTTATACGGCAGCGAAGCATCAGTGTTGAACACTGATGTCATGCTGTCGATTATATGCAGACAGTCTGATTTGTGATTGTGAGGCCACTGACAAGCTTCACCTGTCGTCCCAGGTTAAATTTCCTGTCACAGAATTATATGCATATTTATGAAGCTTCTCCAGTGCTACCGGTTCCGAGCACAGGCTCACCTCGCCAAAGCTAGAGCAGCGGACCGTTTAGTCTTCAACTGTTAGCCAAGTGGTCGCAGGTTCGAAATTCCATGAGTTTCGTTTGGTACGCGCTGTTGTTAAAACAGCTGTACAGTGCATCTAGACTTTTCAGCATAGATTATGTTCACTTACAGAATAAAATCTCTATTGTGAGTCTGCATATACTTGTAGAACAACGCAACTGACCTCGTAGTAGCCTTAGCAGCAGTAGCAGCAGAATTCCTGAAGGATCTCACAGGTGCTTCCCTAGGTATCATGGAATAGTGACAATCCACGCAGCCTTCCTTGATACAGAGACGACTTATCATACAGGGCTTCTTCATGTAACAGTCTGTCACACAGTCTGGGACACAGTCTGTGTCCCTTCACAAATCTGAATCGGTCTTTGCTTGTATGTCGAGTGAAAACTGGCTCCGTGCAGGTATTATATTGCAGATAAGTTGTAAGCTTCATAGGTTTGTTGCTGTGCAGTGCGAATAGTGAACCTTTTTTGTGAGGTTGACTTTCGACTAACTGAAGATCGGTTGGGTTGACTCATTCACTAATCGTGTTAAGGTCTAAGGGGGATACGTGCTCTGGTGAATTCTCTGAGATCATGAAGGTCATTTGAGCGGTAGCATCGTCCTACTTGAAATTCAGGAACTATGGGAGCTCACAAATGGTGGCTCGAGTGATGGTATGAACGTCCGAATGAAACTCTTGCCATATAAGTATCGACGTTATGTGGGAGACCGATAGTTCCTAAAATAATTTGTTGAGGTCCCATGCGTCGTTGGCTTTCAAACTCGATATTTTGAAATGGCCGACGTGAAAAGGTTCAGTCATACAATTCTGTAGAAACATCCCATGTGCGAATTCTGTTATCTCAGTAACCTTCGGATGTTTATAAAAGGGCGTACGGCTCGATACTGTTACTCTCTGCACCATCCCTAAGCTGTGGCAACCAAGTTAGTTGCTCGCGTTTATCTCCCGTTTTTTGCCCAGGGATCATCCTCTTGAAGCAGGTGAGATTTCTGAAGGTTCAACCAAGATCTCCGTTGAACGCGCTCATAGAGACGTTTCCTGTATATTTTTGTGCTCCATACAAATTCCACACGCTGCAGCTTTTGTCGCTCCTATTATGGTATCTCTAGTCTGATTCTACTCTTGATCAGCAAGTGCATCCTTCATAGTTGTTTCGTTGAGATAAGCATGTGACGTGAGAGTACTGGTCTCATTATCATTCCAAAGGACTGAGTGATAATTTTGTCTGGATTACTGTAGTATGCCATAGCATCATGAACTTCATGACCTATGCTTGATTCAGTTCCACTGTCCGGTATACCTCAACTGAATAGAGCATGTTGTAACGTGGAATGTGTTCCTTAACAATCTGACAAAGAGGCGCACAATAAATATGGATAAGGAAGTACAGTGAACAGCGATTCGAGCGATATAAGGATAACAGAACGCATGTCATATCGAGTTTTGTATAGTAGGCAGTAAAATGAGAATGTGGCGCGTGGAAGTTCTTTATAAAAATAGTGCGAACTGATTGATACATTCAGGAGGTGGTAGTCGTAAGCGGAGTTAAACGCTGTGCGTGGCCCCGAAAACTCAGTGTGTTGTGATTCTAAGCGCGAGCCAACCAGTGGATCTCGGGGCCACTGTCAGTTTAATGCAACACGTTTTACTCATCTTAGATTGGAGCGTAGTTCGGCTGGATAGTCGGTCAGATAGCAGTTAAAACACGAATCCTGTGGATAAAGACTTGCACTGTTCAGCTATAACTAGGTTGCTTGAGCCTATTATAAACAAAAGAATCTTCCATGCAACCGCTTCTAACTAGTCCTTATACCCTTATTCAAATAGGTGTTTGAAACCACAGAAGTCTAGGCCTTACACATATCATAACATATGGCCCAACCTCGCACGCGGGGCACAAATTCGTCTGTGTCAAGCAGGATGTCGTCCAGCCAGGGAAGCGGTGATCACGTCTTGGGCAGCGCCACACACCGTCGACACACAGGTGTCGACTCCAAAGCTGCCTTTGTTTCCTCAGATAGGTTAGCTTCTGTACCCATAGTTGGCCAAATAGGAATGCCCCTCGAGCATTATTTATACCCTGCGTGTTCTCCATTTCCATACTTTTGGCCACATAAGAGTTCGCACTGAACGGTCCGAAAGTTTAGACGCAACTACTGGGGTGTGGCAGGTCTTTCCTATTTTCCCTCTTTTGTCTGGCTTTGTCATCTACATAACACAGGACGGTGAACTTGGTATTGAAAATGCATCTGGAGAAAGACCAGTTGGCATGGAGACTGCGAAATACATTTTCTTGTCATGTGAAAACCATCAGTTCACACGATCTATCACAAAATTGGATTTCGAGAGGAATCCCTTTTTCGCTATGCATTTTGCACCTCCAAAGTACGAATTTTTTCGTGTATCCTTTGTCCATCTTAAAATTCAATTAGCATAAATTACGTCTGTCAATCTGTTTACTACTAATCTGGGCACCTGTTGGTTCAAAAAGAACCTTAGGTCACTCCTATCGACGCACGTATCTCGTTTGTCAGAATGATCGAACAACTGCGTTTGTCGTACTCCTCCATTCCTCTACAAGTCGCTGATTGACCTCCAGTTGTTGGTCAACTTAATCATTGCATTTGAAATTTTACGCGTTTGGTTGTAGTAATCCCTTCTGGTAATTTGATGTGATCCATTTGAAATAGTTTCACTTTGTTCAACATCCTTTGCAGGTTGATTTGGTGATCAGCCGTCTCGCTACCTCATACATCCCTCGACAGCTGGATTTTGAGCAAACTCCTGGGGATTTGTACCGCAATATGGATACAATCTCAGTACGCAGTCTTTCTGGATTGCACTTGGCTTACGAGCTGAACAAAATGATGTTTGGTCACGCCCAATTCCTCCCACTGCTCCGCGTCATTCGCACTTGGGTCAAGGTTAGAGCAATTGGATCTTACGTCTATGGTTTTCCTGCCTCCATTGCTTGGACAATCATGGTTGTGTACATATGCAGGCGACTGGGAGACAATGTACGTAATATCCACTCGTGTGTTTTTATTCCTTTACTCCTGACACATTTTTCTCTCCATTCGATTTCGGACCTCAAAGTACTTGTTGTTGCGGAGAAAATAACGGTACTTGGAGTTTGACCGTCCTCAACTTTACGGCTTTCTAGGCGGTTCTGTGCAGTTGTGGGATTTAGCGAATCTCTCCTTGTAGCGACTGCTTCTGTGTGGACCTATCAGATAAGAACGGAACTGCTGAAACTAGTGTGACTTAGCTGCGGTACAAGAATGAGCTGCCACACCCCGCCCAGCAATAGCTGCCATTTTGACCGATGATTGGGCCTCAGTGTTTAAGTGATCTGGCTAAACTAACTAGAACTTTGTTCCTCAAGATTTAGTCATACCAAGGAAATCAAAGTGGAGCAGTTGGACAAAACCCAGCAGGCTCTCATACACTATGGGCCTCTGTGATTGGAGTGTGAAGGCAGTAAAGTGTTTCCTCCAGGCGACCAGTATATCCAAATTTATGGAGGCGGCGTTCCTGCCTGCCTTCGAGGGAATACTGTACACTCCGATCACCCAACGGTTGACACTGACCACCGGTGTGTTATTCAATACGATCGAAACACTCTCAAATCCAAATAGTCTGATCTTCAGAGGACGCCTGTTCTCCATGATCGAATTAGGAATCATACATTTATGCATTGCCCCCTGCAACCCCGGCTAGGCAAGTCCTCCGTAGCTAGGTGTGTCAAACTAATAAGTCACTTGCTCCGGTCAGGGTACCTCAAGGAAACTCCTAGCATGTTGCCTCGTTAGCTAGACTTTTTAGTAAGAGGTTACGTACAGGGCACCGGAGCATAATCTGCCTTCCCCCACAGACAAGGGAATCAGACTTTTTAGTCAAAGGATCAATGTGGGGCACCTCAAACAGACTCGCATTTTCGGCCTTGGCTACCCAGAAGTAACATCTGCTGACGCGGCTGTAGAGCAACGAATAGCCTCCTTATTCTATCAGCTCCAACTATAATTGCTGTCCATATCAGCACAACCTCGTCTGGGTGTATCTCTTTAGATCTGTCATCGGTTCCTAACCCCCGGAGAAATGAAACAAACTTATAAAACAAGATTATCTGTTCCCCGTAATGGCGCTTCGTTGCAGATCGGTTGATAGGTGCCTCTCGCCCATACCTGTCCCACTTCCCAAATCGATGTGTGTTGTGCCTGCAGAGCACATTTATTAGATCCTGCCATGGTAGTGCTGCTGAACACAGTTAAAGGCAGTTTATTCACACGTATCAGGTGATCTAGTAGCGATGCTCCGTGGTCACAATGCTATGGGTATTGCGTTAATTGCGAGAGCCTAAGACGCTTAGCTCAATCGGATTCCTGTGAACAGCAGTGCGTGTGCAGTAAGAATGAGCGGCTCTGTCGGCACGGTCTGCAGTCAACTCTCCAAAACCCGAAATCTGTTCATTAACTCTGCACACCGAAGACCTACATTGGTACAGAAATCGAAGTTTCACTAAGGTTTGGACAGAAAAGCGTCCACTCGAGCTCTGAATAGTTGGAGGTTGCTGGCGTTAGGAAGAAACCGTCTGAAATAGTTTTTCAAAAGCCTGTGATCTCGAGGAAAACAAAAGGATAAATAGTTCTGTTTGGTAATTTTACAAGGGTGAATGTCTGAGTATATCGGGCGCAAGCAGGGTTTTGAAAAACAACCGTCTTTATAGTGGTGATAAAATAGAGAAAGGGTGTGTCCCCCATAATTTGAGAACTCTAGAATACTTCGACGTATTCAGGAAAGCCCACTTGAGTGACGCACAAAATCACAAGCCAGAAATTGTGAATTCTTGAGATTTGTCGAAAGATGCGGTACTACATGTACAAAATACTTAATAAAAGGGGTACAAACCTCAAATTATGGGGGTTTCCGTCTAAACTGTTGCACGAAGTAGTGCAAGCCCAAAGAAAGCCCGGAGAAGATGGCAAATCGATCTTGGCTTGCGACCTAGGCCTGGGTACAACACGTGGTCAAACAAAAACGCGCGTAAAGAATGGCTGACCAAATTGGTTCGACAATTCAAGGGTTAAAAGTTCATGAGGGATTACAAATGCATATCAAGTCTTTGAGGTAGACACAGTAAACAGCAGCAGACAAGGGAGGGAAGTGCAGAGGAAGAAGCTAAGGGTTATAGGACAACGAAAGCAAGTCACTGAAGCGTACGACTTTTTCGGAAACTATGCGCAGCTGAAAAATAAGTAGTAGTTGCACGTCAGTCCCTGTGGTTCGTACGGATCCTATGGGAGCCAGGGTAAGGGCTTCGCGGGTGAATGTTGCTCTTGTCTTATTCGTCGATGGCAATTTACCAGTCTGTGAAGTATCAGGATGTGATGTTTTTTTAAACCGCGTTTGGTATTACTTTGACGACTACTTTGTCTGCCGGTAGTAATCATTTTGAATCGAGAGTTTGTCCCCACCCACCATGCAACCTTTGGGTTCAAGTGAAAACACTCACTTCCCTCCTCTCTTCAGCTGAACTAATTGATAGACTACCCTCAAGTAAAGTTTCTGAGTAGCTTAATGTTTCCAAAAAAGATCCACTTTTCCATCCAACCGTGAGTGACAATATCGTTCACCTGATCGTCCTTCTGTCTGATTGGGTCGTCCTACCCGATCGCCAGTCGCATCAAAATGCACCCACAGATTGTTGGGCCGTTCCTCCCTATGGATTAATGTGGTGGTATAGGCGACTAGGAGATGGTCTATGAAAGTCAGAAGAATCTAACAATACCAAGATAAGCGGAAGTCGATGGCTCTATAGGCTTCAGTGAACACGTGATCGCATGATAAGAACAACGTTTGGGACGATGGATATTTAATCTGGGTACTCGTATCCTTTTGGTTCAGATTTGCAACGCAGGTAACCAGAGTTTCTGAATGTCCCAGGTCATTTCCAGGCATTGCTTGGTTATCACTGAATACGATGTGTGCACTCGATAGTGAAGATAACTACATTTTGCTTTGTTGTTCAGTGAATGTAAAACAGCGTTCTAACCTGCCTGTCTGCTTTATTCCAATCAGTCACAGATATCAACGTTTTGCGTCTGCAGATGGTCATCTGGGTTTCGAACTTCTGAACCGGTAGCCGAGCGAAACAGCGGCGAGGAATCGCTGGCTCCCAATAGTCATGATCTTTCCTGTTTGGTTTACACATTCTTCGCACAGTTCGCGTCCTGGCCTTGGCCCCATCCGGTTCAAATTGCCTCAATCAAATTTGCTTCGGATTTGAACATCTTTTCTTGGGATCCCCAGGTAATCCTTCGCTGAACATCTCGACGGTTTGAGGCGGTTTCGTATTTTCCGCTCTGATTCTCACGGCCGAATTCAAGCCTAGATTTCAAAAATACAATCAGAATATGTTGAATTAATGTTGGAAAATTTTAACCCACCACAGATCCAGGTGCAACACGGAGATCACACATTTATGAAACGATGAATGGGAGGCAAAGACTGTTTGTCATATTGTCTGTTCCAACTACCTCTGAGCTGCTGTCTATGGGACTGGATCTGCACGAATCCAGGCGATTCCCGGTTATCGATAAACCAGTTGTTTCTACGGGTACGTTACTAAACGGGTCTCGAGGATAGATGTCGGCTAGCAGTGAACTTGTTGTGTAGCAAGGCGTAGATCGAATTTATTCACATGGGAAAATATGGAGCTAAGTTGAGTGTGAAATTCTGTTAGGTGAGGCGTCTCTGCCTGTGCCGTTGAAGGCCTTTACCTTTCACCTACTAATAAGTAGCGTAAAATTATAGACGACGCACTGAAACTACTAATCCTAGGTTGCACGGTTCTCCCCAGAAAGGAAACCTCCCTGATAAGCCGCCCAATGTATATCTTACTGAAAGCTATTGTTCTTTGGAGATAAAATCACCTGATTAATGCAGTTTCCCTCTCCTATACCCTTACCACCCTTCCGTCACTCATGAAATTCCGTGAAAACTTTTTTCACTCTGCCATCTTTCGATTCACTGAATCGGTTGACCGAATTTCTAGGCAGACAGCAATTATCAGTATGCCACATCCTGGCACAGTTCCTTCTTTGATGGTACATCGAAGGTTGTCGAATGCTCTGGCCTATATCACCCCAGACAGTACTATCAGATCACTGGAAACCGTTAAATTTTCGGAGCGAAAGGTTCTCACAAAAGCCGATGGATAAACCGAGTCGTTTGGAAGCCGTATAATTGCCCAACTTTAATTATCCCCCGATCACAGTGAAAAAACTGTATACTGCTTCAGTTTATTGGCCGATTTACAGTCTTTTTGGCGTTGTTTTTCCACATGGCTTCACCTTCCTCCATTGCCCCGCCATAATGGTCTAAACAGAAGGTTGTGATTCATCATCATGCTGATCCAGTTGTTTAGTCAGGGTGACATATTTGAAGTAAAAACCGTCATAGACGAGAAATTCAGCTGGGTCCAGTCGAGTCTCCCGTTGGAACCAAATTAGTGTGCAAACGGGAGCATTTGGCGAATCGCCATGTTTTATCGCCCTGCTTTTCGTGTTAGTGGGCCAACCCAGCGTAATTCAGATCAACTAAGCCGCGGATCTGATGGTCCACAACGGCTGTCGCAGCGATATAACATGAACGTGATAGCGCACTCTACACTGTTGTGAGGGATACCCGGTCACTGGGAGAAACAGATGTTGTCCTTACTACAGTCTGTGGTCGCTTTCAATTCGCCCACCACTGAACGTGAATGCAGTGATATGCATGTCTATATTCTATGACCAACTAATTCTTCTTCTTCATTGCGTGTCAGATGTGCGTCAAAACTTTTGTTCGGTAGTTTTATTTATCCTGTGGCTATGGAAACCAGAGGTTTCTTATATGTTCTGGTAGAATGGGTCTCCAGCTTCACTTCTCATTTTGGACGATTTGGAGTGAATTTCTGACCAGCTCCCTGAGGCAAATTAACAAAGACCAACCGACTCGATCAGACCATCGGGGATCCCTTTTTACCCCTTAGTCCGGAGGAGCATCACTATAGCGAAAAATGCTCACCACATGTATCGTGGCCAACTTGTTTCTTAGGACACTCCGAACATGTACTGCAGCAACCCTATACTCTCATCGTCTTATACCGTGTTTGTCCCATTCCATCTTAGCGCAATGCCCAGGATGGTCGTGACCTTATGCCTATTCTTACTCCAGTATTCCCTAATAAGAACGCTGCGTTTACAGTACGTCAAGCGACTCGGAAGATTGTCACCGATGAACTTATACGAGGTTAGTGCTATGGTGTTAGCTTGCTTGCCTTAGCATCATCTTCACCAACGGTTTATTACAAAGCAGCCTATATGATAACTAATACAGCTATGGTGACGATGAAGTGTGTTTATACGCTTTGATAAAGCGTTGTAACAACCCCATAACCACTCATTTGTTTGCTGCAGTTGTTAAATTGAAACCGGCTCGTTTCACACGGTTTTCAAGCCCTCCTCAGATTAATCAGTGTTGGACATGAGCCATTCACCAGCTTCACCATCCAGCAGCAATCGAACTGCTCCGAAGCCTAATCTTCACACGCCTCATGAGATGAGGGAAGGCTGGATGAGGTGACGACCGTTTCGATAGGATAATTCAATAAACCACCCATGTTGGGTCTACCAGGGAAGGCCAAACCTATCTAACATGGGCTCTGTGGCCCTAACTGGTTTTTATGCCGATTCCCAGAGCGATAAATTCGCATAATGGGTCATTTAAGTAAGTTTTATCTGTTATTTAAGGAAATTGTAGAGACAAGTTCCCCATTGACTTTATTTCACTGAGTTCTCCAGGAACCCTGTGGTCACCTACTCTCATGTGATAATTCTACCTGGCTCCTTCTACGAAGGATTGCAGATCAGCAGCAGACCGATTCTTATTAGCAGGGTTAGTGATTGGGGCTGAAACTGACAAATAAACGAAACTGTTCAGGCAGGTGCTGTCCCACCATTGACCGAATTGAAGAAGAGGTTTCAGCCAAATTTGGGTCCTTGACTCGAAGGTTTCCCCTGCAAGGTAGCGGAAAAAATAGATTTTCGTTCCCGTAGCTGTGAGAGGTTTACTCAGCCCGCGAGTTCAAGTCTCGAAACATGATTGTCAGACTCTCGGTGCTACTACCTCATTCATGTCCCTTTTGAACAGCCGCAGGTGCCGGCTGACCTTTGGAGTGTGCGATTTTTAGGACTCGTCTTTTGTCGTTCAGAGAAGGGCGGCAGCGCTTCTGTGCCTATAGGCACATCTGCCACAGAGAACAGTGCGAATTGGTCTCAAGTTCCGCTTCGCAAAGCGATTAATCACAGCTCTTGGTCGGAGTTGACCTTCTACAAAGGCCATCGCCCCTGGAACTCTCAACTGTCTGGTTTATGCCTGTTTTGATCTCTACTTTCTACGCTATCCGCATTCATTATTGCGTGATTACGCCATGCTGTCCATTACGTTACGATAGCTAAACGTCTTGTGAATCTGTCATATAACAGTTTACTAACTGTATGGCGGTTGAGGTAACTCTGCGGTTAAAGTGTCAGAAGGTACGTAGTTTTAGTCTAACCATGGTTTTTCGATCGCTCCTGTCTGAGGTTGGGCCACCTAACAACATCTCAACTCGCGTGCTTCCTTCGGGTTGCATGAATAGCTGTACGCCGAAAAGGTGCCACAGCTGGATGCTCATCTTCTTAGTTTCATTCTTATTGGAGTTCAACACTCATTTGTAGCCGAGACTATGCTAACGTGCGGTTCAAATGAAACCGGTGGTGGGCTTTCAAAGCAGTGGTGCATGAAGGCTAATTCATTACATACTCCTCGCCGTGAGGTGTTTCAATTCCGAGTTTATGTTTCATATCCATGTAACTATTTTGTTGTACCTTACTCAGCTCGTGATATCGTTTCGGATGTTCTTCGTGGATCTGGGACATGGGAAAAGCTGTTCGAACGGTACGATTTACGGGATCACCATCGGTAAGTGGCCTAATTTTTCCGCTTCACTACCCATGCGATGTTAGCCATTTTTTGGAATCGCCTTGTTTCAGCACCGAAAACACCAGAAACTTTGGTTTCTTCCACCATACTGTTTCCCATTGTTCTTAGTTTGACAGTAGAAGCAGTTCGATAGCAACTTATTTATCTGACGGAGAACGCTTATGAATTCGTCAGCAGACTGGCTTCTCTGTGGAGTCTCCAGTGGGGGGACTATTGCGTTGTCCCTTGATTGAACAGTAGAGGTGTTTTTAACATACCTTCCTCGACTTATTCTTGGTGTATGATGAAATTGACTGTGAGGATGAGCTTTACAGAGAGCATGAGGAACACAGATATCCGTGATACCTCTCAAAGAGAATCGTTAGCATCCCCGCACTCTCAACACTTTCTTGTTCAACGGCGCCTGAGTTCACAGTTTATTATAACCTGAGATAAACGGTGTAGTATATGCGTGCTCCGAAACGGCACAGTTTATTTTCAGCGGACTATACAGCGCCTTATGTCGTTTGAGTTGGGATCGAGTCGAAGGCGTCTCATAACAAACACGTTTTGGTAGCCACGGTGGTTTTTAATCACCAAACGGAAAACACGTTTCTTCGTTGTATCCTGATGATATAACAGCAATCCACATGAGGACGTGATGTGAATCAATGTGTATTGCCAATTGATCTGCAGTCAATAGTCGATCCTGGAAATCCTAGCCAGTGGCTAGGTGGTCAGTGCGGCACCGTGTTTATTCTGCAGCAGGAGACACCAGATGGTATGACAGCGTTCCCTACGCCCACTGGATAACAACTGATATGAATTCGTCATCACCCCTCAATTCGAGACCATCAAAGTGTGCCTGCGATGACCTTAGACGCTATTAGGACCACTGTTCACCATAGATAAGTATTGCGACAGATGGGTACAGGCACCGGTGAAGGAAACATTGGCTGAGGAACTGTATGCTTCCTCAGTTCCTTCGCAGCCCATTGCAGCACCTGCCTAATCACCGGGTACGCATGCGCGGATATTTCGCTTAGACTTTACATTAGAGTTTCGGGGAACCGTCGATAAAGTAGCCCAATTTCACGGGCTGGAGCTTACATGCTTGATGCTGAAAATATAGCCATAAGAACGGAAGTGCGAATGGTAGTGTGCAACTTGTCACTCCCCTAGGCCTCCGACTGGTGTAACTGCAGCTGAGATCTGTATGAGAGTTTGACATGATGGCGAGCGATAATTAGTAAAGTTTGGAGCATAAGCAACATGACAGTTTTGGCTGTCCATCATGCAGTTTGTGGCCAGTAGGTAGATCCCGCCTGTGAATCTACACGATGTCCGATGTGGGATGAGGCGATTTCTTTCCACATTGGTCATGGTCGTACGAGCGATGAGAATCCGGTTAGACGCCAAAAACAGGGAAGATAATCACGATCTTTATCTTGAAGTTCCGACAACAAAGCAGCATTGGTTGGCAAAAAGCCATTTTGCAGGCAGTAAGCCACTACATCTGCTACAACCAGGTCCCGCGGCTTTTGAATGGTAGACACATAATCATTGGCTCATGTCAAGGAGAGTACGGATACTCTGACAGCTGACATAGAGTGCACTTCTGGTTTTGTAGGAAGTTACATGAAGAGCTTGTATATTTGTCACCATAACCGCTGAGTCAACACATGAAACCTTACTTGCACGGGGTGACGTCATCATCGATCAAGGCAGGATCTAGTTTAAGAAAGACAGCTCTTGTTAATGGCTGTACCTCTAGCCTTTACACAATCAAGTGTGGCCTGAACAGCAACAGAAAAAGTGTAGATGACGAAACCATTGTTTGTTCTTAAGCTTAACCGCATCCGCCAGATTCTTCGGAGCTAATATTGCTCCGATTTATAACTCAGCCTCCGTATTTCTAAATGTCTCCCCCTGGACAACAAATTTCCATGGTATCCAATATCCTCCAGTGCTGGTCCAACATGTCGGAGGCTTCAGTCCATATTCTCGTGGCAACTGACAACCCCCCTGTGGTGAGGTACCGCATGCCATGTGTTATCTACACTGGGCCCATGTGGCGTTGCCCGTCAAAGTCCACCCCCGTTGTCCGTTTGCCCGTTTATTCTTATCTTAGTGAGATTTGTCGCAGCAGTTTGCTTATCTGATATCATCCCCTTTGGGTCCGCGTAAAGATCGGTAGCCTCCCATGTTTCTCCAATATGCGCCAAGCACTCATTTGCATAGGACTTTGGTTTTGACAGGGTACTCAAGTGAATTCAGCTGTATCTATACTTTGTGATCATCTCCCTCCCCCGTCCAGCTGCCTGGTTGCCATGCCTCCCTAAGGTAGTACGAGGGCTGAGGTACTGTCAGGTTGTCTAAGCCTAGACAGGAGCAGTCGAGATGCTGAGGTTGATGTTTAACCATGGACCTTACGGTCAGGAATTTCATGTCTTGACCACTGAGCTGTCTTGAGCTGTCGCCCGTCACGAAGAGACGATCTTACCGTTGTGTGTCTTTGTGATCCGTTGGGCCGTACTGGGTGGTGTCCGTGCGACGCGTACGGTGTCTCTCATGCCAGGTTGATCAGTAGTAAGGGGTCTAACTGGTCTTCCAGGTTGGGAGTCAAAACATGTGTATTCCATAAAGATGGTAATGCACTTGCGTTAAATGCAAGTGCAAATGCCAAACAACGCTTTGACTCTGAGAGAGGACCCTAATCGTCTTTCTGTCTTGGTCTGGGCGCCCTGGCAGTATCCCAGCCCATGTACAACAATGCTACTCACAACTAACAATACTCTCATACCATGTAGGCTGTCACGTGGTGTCGTCAGCCGGGTCACCTTACTTGCTGCAGGTAAGTGAAAAGATGCTACTGCTGGCGGCTCCCTTCTTACACTCATGTATTCCCGCTTCTACCCTACCCCATGCAAGTTTTAATACTCACTCTATAGGTCCCAGCACTAGCACTGACAGCCATGTTTGCCATGCATCACACTCAGCTGCAGCTGCTGTACGTCCGACTTCAGTAACAACTCCAAAGATTTCGAAGTCTGTTTTCAAACCCCGAAAGCCTGTCTACTTAGCTGCCTTTAATGTTCGCACTCTGAAGCAAGTGGGACTACAAGTGGTTCCTACTCGTACGCTGGATCCCGTTTGCGTTGGTGTATATTGTCTGTCAGAAACAAGGATGCAGGGAGCAAGTACTGGGTTCAGACTGACTGCCCTTTCGCTTTCTTCGAGATTCTGACCTCTGGTGATGCGGAGGCCGCTGCCGCTGCATATGCCGGTGCGGGTCGAAAGCGGAAGCGTCTCTACTTGATTGGATAGTTAGTTTAGCAACATCTATGAAAGAACCTCTATCGCACTCAGTTTGTTGTGTCTGCTTACACCACAACGAACTATTGATCTGAATCTGCCAAAGATAGTTTCTATGATGTCCTAGGTGCCCTTCTATAACTAGTACACTCAGAAATCAAACGAATCTATCAGAACACGCTTCTCGAACGACTGCTAAATGCTTTCAAGAAAAAGGTGGACTGCGAACATGGACCCGCCTTCAGCCGAAGAAGTGATCAAGCGTACCTCCACTCAAGCGTTGTTGTGCTCCTGGCCCTGCCGTGTTCAAGAATGGTGGTGGATTTTTCAGTCAGTGTCTGTCTAGCCTGTTTGGGTCTATTCGGGAGAAGGAGACCGTCCCAGACAATTGAGTTGAGTCAATAATAGTCTCCATTCTCAAAAAGGGTATTCTCAGTAAATGTGGTGACCACAGATATGTCTGCTTGACTCCCGTTGTAATAAGGCTTCTGGTTTCACTGATTCTCACGGTGGCACGCGAATCGTTATCCTGTGAGCGTTGTGCGGGATTTCGACCGGATATAGGCTGCGTCGACCACATTTTCACACTGTCAGGTGTTAGAGTGATGCCATATGTACACACAACCCACAGTCTTTGTGTTCCTTGAATTTAAGTGTGATTCTATCGATTCTGTCGACCAGGTAGTGCTGTTAACTACACTTCTTCGACCGGGTATACCCCCGAAAGTTTGTGAACCTAGTCCTTTCCCTAAATTCTCATGCATTTTGGCATGTGACAGTTTATGGTGAGCTCTCCAACAGCTTCCCTACAAAAAGTTGTGTCGGACAAGGATGTTCACTCTCTCCATTCTTGTTCAACTTCATCATTGATGAAATAATGAGGCACACTCCGGGAAGTCTTCAAAACCCCGGTGTTCAAATTATGGCTGGTGAGAACATTACCGATTTGGAGTACGCAGGCGACATTGCCCTCATCTTTAAAGGCCAAAGCGAAGCACAAGTTACTTTGAATAGACTGACTACCGTCACACTGTCTTTCGTTGTGCGTCTTGCACCCTCAAAGTGTAAAGTCATGCTTCGTAACATGCAGTCTCTGGATATACCTTTTACAATTCAGATAGAATCATTGGCAATTGTATAGAGTTTTACATAGCTTGGTAGTTGTGCTAGCTCTGACGGAAGTGTGTCTGATAAAGTCAGTGCACAGATCTCAACGGCCAGAATCATGTTTGCTAATGTGCGTCACCTGTGACGTCAAAAAGGCATATCAGTGGGTCTCAATGGTCGCGTGTGCCAGGCTGAAGTAAGGGCTGTATTGTTGTATGGTTGCAAAACATGGCCTTTGAGGACAGATGATATGAGGTGTCTTTATGTTTTTGAGCACCGATTTCTCAGAAGTGTTGCTGGTGTCGAATGGAGTCAATGAATTCGTAACGAAATAATTAGAAAACGGCTAGTTGGTCGTGCAGCAGGTAGTTCAGTTGCAGAAAACATCCAGCACCATCGATTGCGATGTGCTACGTATGACGAAACACCGTCTGTCTAGACGAGTGTTTTTCTCCGTACCTCCTTCAGAATGGCACAACCGCGCTGTGGACAACGTATGACTTGACAGAACGGTGTGAAAAAACTACAAATTTGGGCGTTGTTGGTGTTGTTCGCCTTCCAGGATGGGGTCCCCGAGACCCACCTGGCTGAAGATGTTGCAAGAAATGGTGGCTGATCGATGTCAGTGGCGTTCATTGTGTCGGTTTCTTTCCAGATTGTCTGATTGGGTGCTTGGAGGTGTAGGCACCTCAGAATGCCTGACATAGGCCAGCACTAGGTCCCCTCTCTCACCCACTCTTTTTCCCTTCTTTTTACTCTGGGCTTTAATTACAATTAGACCAACTTTATGATTGTACGGCAGTAAAACATCGGTGTCAACACTGATTTTACTGTTTCTGATGATGGTGATGGTCTTCTCGCATATAGTTTGTGAACAGAATCAACAATTTAGGATTGGCGCTCTTTCTAAATTCTTTGTGTGATGTCGTCTTCGCGGATGATAGAGGATAGCCCTCTAGGCTTCTGAGTGTATGCTTCGTTTTAGTTAACAAGTACATATACGGGCTTATTCGGCCGCGTATCAGCCAAATGATGCGTTTTTGCTTTGACACGGACGTGAGTTTAATTGCACCCTGGGTTTTAGCTGAATACGAAATATACGTCAACCAATACATTCATCCTCTGTTCATCGCTACTCCGTCTTGAAATTCGCCTTCTGCAGTTTCTCAGTACCTGGCTGAATCTCACCTGCATGCATGGAACCTGCACTTGTCAGTCGACCAGTTCAAAGTTGGTTGTTTAAGCCTCACAAACCATTATCATTTGTCTGTTTACGTTTCAAACAACCTGTTACATTCGCTACCAATCACTCCTCCCGTGCTCGCCGAATGGCATAGATATGGCCGCCTATTCTGTTTACGTTCAAATTCTTTGTCTAAGTTTGACTACAGCTTGATTTGGACATGGAACCCAAACAGGCGCTTACTTTATGTACTGTGGGCCTCGTAGTTCCATTCCGCTTACACGGTTTTTGTTTTGTATCGAAAAAAGGGTTCAAATGAGAATGGTGGCATTCACTTAACGTTCCCATTCTGACGATCACCGTATCGAAGCATCGGCGTTGAACACCGATGTCATACTGTCGATGATGATGATACTGAGACACCACACATGAACTAATCTGATTTCACGCATATCGTGGATCTCTCGGTGCACTAGCTTCTTTCCGTACATGACAATGATTCCATTACGTGGTTTGAGGGTGCGGAGGAAAGCGACAGGTTTTATTTTATCAGGATCGATTCCTGTTCAATGGTTGCATTTTCAAAGATGCCATTTTTGCGCCTATTCTAGTTTTACTTTGGTTTTCGGATACTACTACCAAAAACTGCTACTGTGGTGTAGTGGTCAAACGCCGCAGGGATCTTACTGACTGTATTATTTGAAATTCTGTTCCTCGTGAATAATCCATACGACTAATTGTATTACATCCTACCACATACCCGATACGGCACCGAACACATCCGTCGTTCGATCAGAAGCCGGGTTTCCTTGTTTCAATTGCTGTGCCCTCTTATTGGGCCAGTCTTTCAAAACCAGATGGGCTAGACTCTTGCGTCGTTGGTTCTGGACAAAGTCGCTCGAGAATGCCCTGACATGCGTTGCCTTGCGAGGCAGATCGAGTTACAGGCCACCAGGAGTGATCCCGGAACACAGATTTACGTTATCTCATTACCTTGTGGCACACTTTTGGGTCAAAAGATCAAAGTTTTGTCTAGGCTTGGGCAACCTGACATTATGCCGGCCCTCGTGCTTTCTTCGGGTAGTATGGGAGCTAGTCACCGAAAGGGTATTACAGATGAACGGTTATCTCAAAGCATCAAAATAGGCTTATCACAATCAAACACCCTTGCTTAGTGTGGAAGATCGGTAAACACAGTTCATCCTCACAGCTGATTGTCCAATTTTTTTACCCTTCAGTAGACGCTTCTGTCAGCCGTCCAACCGTATTCTCTTATTCAGTCCATTGCTCAACAAAAATTAAAGTGGCACTGTAGTCAACCCAACAGATCCTTTCTGCATCGATTATTTCAATCTTTCTACTCTGTATCAAATAGGTCAACAGGTTTCTTGCCCAGGCCTTTCAATCCCTTATATTGTGTTCCTGACCCCATAATACGCTATCTGAACCGGATCTTGCATCTTAAGTCACTTAAAACCACTCCAGGTTTTTCATATTTGACTTTCTTGATTCTAGGTAATCTTGAAACAATGATTCGTGGTAGGAATGGTGTGGGAGTTGCACTCAGCTCCAGTACCAAAGACATTTTTTGCGTGAATTCCAGTAAACGGTTGCCTTCGCACCTTACGGCTATTTAGGTCAATCAAGGTTAATGCTAATTCATATCCTAACCGGCAGTTACTTGGAGTGTCAGCGTATGCTGCGACTGAGAGCAGCTGGAACACCTGCTTAGAGGTTCTGAGGTCCAATGGGAAGATGAACTAGCCTCACTCCATAGGTTGCGCCGATTTGGTAACGTGATCCGGATGCCGTGGAGCCATTTTTATCGCAGATCCATTCAGCCGGAACACATACGGGAGATGGTCCAAAGGGTGTTACGTCATGATCTGGTAATGAAACGTCAAAGGAAGTGCCAGCGAACTTTGTCGCGATAGCAACTGCCTGGTTGAATGGGGACTCCACTGCGCATCGTATCAAAGGTACGACACGCTGACAGAAATAGTCCAGTCGCGTAGCAAATGGCGCTCCTGTATCTAAGCTGTTGCCGCCGGTGCATAGCGTTAACTTTTTCGCCGACCCATGTACTAGCAGAACAGGTACGATTCTCTCATGCTAATCTGTTATTCATCGGCGGACACAATAACCTCAAGATAGCTCAATGGTTAAGGCGCAAGTCTGCCAACCGAAAGTTCCTGTGGTTGACACCCAACCCTGACATCTCGGCTGCTCCTGTCCAGGCTGGAGCAACTTGACAGCGTCTGCTTCTTCGGGTATCGTGACACGGAAAAAATGTTAGAGGTGGCTTGGACCATTGCACGGTCAATACACGGTTTTCTAGCTACTGTTGTTAGTGATGACGTGAAAGCTCTAATCTACATCCAGTATGAGATTCTAATTACCATTGAAACAACGGAGACACGGCTCCTGCGATAATCAGCGATAGATGTCTGTCTACACCGATATACCGCTTAGGAGTGAGGGCTTCCCAGGCCTCTCAACACAGGCCTTTCTAAATAATACGCCCATTCCTTTCACACACTAAAAGGTGAAAAATGCAGAGAAATCTATTGTGGCCGTTTGCAGAGACTGACGGTCTCATCAGCCTCACCGTATAACGTTGACCCCAGATATTACAAGATTTGAATTCTGAAAGCTGTCATTGCTAATGGTGAGGTTGATCTAGTCCATGTAACGTTCCAACTCTTCTTCCCGTATAGGTATGCAATATGTGACGTTATTTATGATACGCACGAAGGGGCAATCTGTAGATCTTTGTATTTCCTCACATAGTAACACGTGTACAACCGTCCCTATGGCTTTCCAATTCCAACCACTCTGTTCTACGGTTATAAGTCTTGTTGTGTCGACTGTATGGCACCAGCCTAAAACAAAGGATGATCACTTTTTTCATAAGGGAAACTACTCACAAGGTTGCTGAAAACTCTTCGACAGCCCACGACCGGTTTCGTCCTTCTTGGGGCTCATCAGGTAGGCGCAGTCCCCAAGTTTCCGTCAACCTTATGTTCTACTTGAACCCAAATTGCACTGTTTTTGAGAAATGCACTCATTTCAGTTGTAGAATATCATTAAAAAATAGGATAGAATAGTAGAATATCATAAACGAGAGATTCAGTTGGGTCTTTCGTGAAAACCAAACTGATTTGCAAATGAGTGTATTTCTCGGAAAGGATGATTACTGTTCATGCATATTCACATTTTGTCGAAATTCAAGGCTGCCCTGCGCTTTCTCACACTGAACTCACTGATTTGAAGACTTGCGAATTGGAATAGAAGAGTATGCGAGAGGTTTTTTTCTTCTTCGGACTATTTTTGATATTCTTTTGTCTCTAGGTCTTGTAGAGAGTTCCAATATAGGAAATTCAGAGAATGTGCGCATTTTCGCTATGTTCGCTCGTTTTTTTTACACTTTGAAAGTGACTTACAGTCAAGAGGCTTATGCCTATCTAGGATGCACATGATTAGATGAACTTTACCTCTAGCAAATCCCCGCAAATGATCTGCGGAGTTTTTTATTTACGTGACACTAGCGGTAAGCATGCCTACAACTCTTTGACATCTCACTACCAGCTTCGTCGTTTTTTTGTGGGTTCATCAGTTAAGCGTAGTCCTCGAGTTTCCGGTTGAATACTTAATTTGTACGCAATTGGCAAAGTACACATGAATACTGGATCTCTCACTTATGACATTCCTTCGACTGAATGAACTTCAGAGAGTCCTCATTTTTCGGCTGGCACGATATTCGATATACCGACCGGTAGTGGATTGTCGGAGAGTTTTCACGAACAATACAAGTAGTGTGTCGCGTCAAGAAAATATAGTATGATATATCGAGTGTCGTACCAGCCGAAAGATGAAGGAAAATCGGCGCAGCATATTCATGTCAATATTCAGCAGAATCTCTCATGAGCACTACAGTAATTTGAAGGTGAGTGTATTTTACCTGTCTCTGGGATTGCTTGGCCCAGTGCCATAGTGCGTTCTGAGGGGAAGAAACTGCTACTTCAAGATCATTTTGCACAGAGTTTCAGTGTTCTTTTTATAACGCTGGCTTAGCTGTCCAAAGAAGTAAGTTCAGGTGGATAAACGCCACCCATAAATGAGCTACCCGAATAGACCAATTCTAATGTAATTTCGAGTGAGTTTTTCCGCTTTATCATCATCGTGACAGTCCTGTTTGGCGTGTGGCTCAACCACCTGTAACCCCTGCCACTTCAAGTCATTCTATTCTCTGTCCTTCTCTTATCAACAGGCATTTTCTGCTGTTGACGCTACAAACCACTTCCAAAGAGGAGTTAGTTGTGGTTGGTGGCCTCGTCGACTCGCGATTGCGAGATTTGGCCCAGACGCTGGAGGATGAACAGTACATTCGATCCGCTCGCATTGCTCCTGTTCAAGAAAGGTTTGTTTCACGTTTTAAGTGAGCTCATAGTCTACTGTTGTTTAGCTAATAGTCGTTTGTGCGAAAGGCGCTTGGGATACAGCCAATCGTCATGGGACCAGTTATGGGGAATTGTTAGCAAAAGACACCAAAAAAGGTATCCCCTATAACGCCTTGAACGGGGTGAAGGAATCTCGGGTATTTTGGTCATTATGAGGGCCGCTACTACGTGTACATCTTTGTCGGTTGATATAGCTCATCTTCAGGTCAGGACGTGTATACAAAGGACAGATAAATGTTCGAAAGCGCTCAGTTGAATTGAAAATCAATGTGCGGAGAACCGGATTTTGTTTGGAACCAACAATTGACACTCATTTGACTGTTTGGCCGTATAATGTTTGTATGAATTGCTTTTGGACGCAGTTTTCTGGTGGATAAGTTCTGCAGTTGTAGTAACGGTATTTTCCTCAGCTTAGTTCTCGGTCTAAGCCTCCCAAGCTAGCGTTCACGTCAAAACATTGTCAGCTGTAATAACCGCGTACTTGTCGTACAGTGGTTGCAGCTGCCGCAGTTTCGTTCACCGATGATTTGGGGGAGGGGGGGGGTAGCTGCGCATTGCAGGCGCGAGCTGGTAAATTGGTGCATAAATCCAGCACTTTCAGTGAGTTGTCAAGCGGGGGGGGGTTGGAAAAGGAGCTATGCATTGAAAGCAATAGTTTGGAAGCACGAGCGCCATTGATGGCGCGACTGGGCTATGTCTGACAATGTCTCCAGCCATTGATGTGGCCAGGCTCGGGGTCCCCATGCAGGAGGACGGCAATTACCAGCCCAAAACGAAGTCAAGAACAATTGTACAGCGCTTCGTATATATATAGCGTAGGTGATTGTAACCTACTAGAAATTCTGATGCGTTCTGGATGTGCCATTGGCAACCGGCATTTGGCCAATACTGGGTCATGATTGGCTGTTGGGTCCATATTTTCGACCAATCAGATCTCGTCTTGATGCCGGACCGGCAGGCGTCCCGAATTTTTGGCCATTCTCGTGCGGGCTAGGCCTATCGGCCGTAGCAGCGCCTGAAGACGTGCGGTCTAGCGGGATCCGTGTGGAATCCTGCCTAACAGCAATAGTCTTGTTCTTTTGGACTTTGATGTGCGCTTAAAAGCTGTCGAGATGCCCTCTTTCTAGGGTGCATTCTAAAGTCGAACTAGTTGCGTTGGAGGCCATTTTCAATGTGTTTGGACGTGCGTTTGGACAATTGGTTGGTTGGGAAACAGCAGCTATCCTACAACGCTAGCAGCCAACCCATTTCATCAGAACTAACCCACTACATTCTGATCAGTGGGCAACAACTTAGATAGCTAAGACCTTCATCAGGTCTGAGATTGGTCCATGTGTAAACGGTCCACAAGATTTCAAATATAGTCCCCATCTTTGGTTTACAAGAAAATTTGTTGGGGGAAATACATCCCATCGGATGGTTCGAAGATGCAGACTGGTCGATTTCGTTGATTCTATTGCTACCTCTCTCCTGCCTTCATATGAACAGAATCCTGGTTTTTACATGGCATGGTTGATGGATACTATCAACCACAGCATTCAGCCGTAGCTGAAATGTGGGCGTACGTCGCCGAAACATGTCACCTGGCATCAAGTAATTAATGGGGTGTTGTGGTTTATTGAAGATGAACCACAACCTGAATAACTGATATCTTCTCACAGAACACTTTCGTCCGAGTAGGCTGTCATACCACCCGACCTCTGCTTCTTGACTTCCCCTGTCTAGGCTTGGGCAACCTGGCAGTATATCAGTGCTTCCTTATGGTGGTATGGTAGTTGAGCACCGGAAGGGTGCTAAAGCTGTGCGATTTTTTGTGGACAATCTCCGCAAAAACTCATAGAAACAATGATAAACCCCACTATCCTACTGCCTAGTAGTGTGGGAATAGCAAGAACAACGTGAGCACTAGTAAGTTCTGTTGAACCTTAAACGTTGTTAGAATACATGATGCGATGTTCCTAAAGTTCCATCATAATCTTATTTCGCCCCGACATTCTGTAGCCCAGGAACCAATCAATCCAATGCTTCCTGTAAGCAGCTCCGTCGCCAATGGCTAATTGGCATGGACATCGAGTCAGCGCCGCGGTTGCCCGACGGTACACGGTCACGACGTAATGTGGACATCACTGGTTGTTTGTCCACATTCTACCAAATTCTCCGTGAACGAGATGCTTTCACGGATTTTGGTGAAAAACTAACTCATGTTTATCTAAATCGGTGAGTAGCTTCTTGTTTTTGTTCTGTCCAGATTCGACTATAAAAAGCACAACCTAACAGGTCGCAATCATGCTGCAAAATGACCGTCGATTTTAGTTTGTCAAACTATGCAAAACATTTTCACGTAACCAGGAGGGTAGTTCCTCCGCATTAATTGTTATATTACTTGTCGGAAGTGACAGACATATAACAGCCTTGGCTGGATGTTAAGCTTATCAGACTTGTATGCAGGGCTGTTGACTTGAAGATTGTTGGACAATCGGTCTTAGTGAGTTCTGTGGGATGGGATATCAGACGCGCAGTGGAAGTTCATGATTCGCTGAGGTATGCAAGCCGAAAATCCGTGGTCGAATCTGGTATTTGACGAATCGCAATAATTCTGGCAGCGTTTTGAACGCACCCTCTGTAGGTGAATATGTGGAATGCGTGATAAATCACGCACAAAAAAAAACATTCCGAACATAATCCTTCCATTCCACCCGAGTTCGAACCCACTTTTTCTCGTTCTGTTGATAAAGCATGCCGGTCGATTAGAACTCATGTGCTAGGTCACTTTATGTTCTTTGGTATTCGGTTTCTGTCATTTCAGTATCCTGTGTACTTTTGAAGATACCCTGCCTTTCATCTAAATGTTGGCCTGCGCCTTGTATTTCTCTCTGATTTCCGAGTGTTCTGTAACAAATTGTCGCCTGTCTATTTGAGATGAGGGTGAAGTTGTGACATTGTTCTACTAATAATGAATGCATACTTTGGCTACTATTTCCAGTACATTTGTTCGTTGGTGCATAGTTTGCGTATGTCTTTGACACACTGCTTCGCCTGTTGTTGTTATCGTTACCGTGGGTTTGTCAGCCATTTACGTTCAACAAATCGCTTGCATGCCAACTCCTGCTGATGTGGACTTGTTTTACACCGTCCAATTGAGTGGATTCACACGGTGTCATACGGGCTTTTTGCATTGCGGTAGTTACATCATGCATTTTCTAGTGATTTCTGCGAAACAACAATGTACTTCCTTGGGTGGGTTGAGACCGCTGTCATGGGGTTCAGGTTTGGTGAGATATATTTGATGGGAGATATTTTGGTGCCCCATCCATAAATGTCTATGCCTCTATCAGTAGAACTGCAGATAAAATGGCAGTCAGGCACCGGAAGGGCTGAACGATGTGTCTTCTGGATGTGTGTGGGGTACCACATGACCCTTTGCATATATTGTGAGGCTCAACCGTTCATTCGTACCCGATTGATTTTGTAGTTATGAGCCACCAGTGTTGCGTGCTGGTGGCTTTAAATCCTCCCCCTTATCCACCCTCTGGTCCTATTCCCCGGTTCTACACCGGGAACAGGACTTCCGGGTGAATGCGTGTGGACGCAAACGATATATGCTATCACTCATGGTGTGTGGGAAACTATCGGTTCAATCAGGTAACGCAACTCATCCCACCGTGTCTGTTTGTCATGGCCGAGAGTCGTGATCATCCATAAGGAATTGGCGACCAGTTGAAAATTGCAAAGCCGTAGAGTTGTCGCACTGATGCAGTCTAGTGCCTCTATTATTATTCCATTCTTATATGCTCCGAATCCTTGCTCCCGTCGACTATACTGTACTATTCCGTACCAGTAGAATGTCTATACAACTTCCTGTAATATTCTTTCTTCGGTTAACCTAGTTTCGCTCAGAGTATTTATTTCGATGCGATAACGTTTCACTCTTTGTTTCTATTGGCTAATTTGGTGTGCAGGCTCTAAGTATATTCTGGTTATTGCTAGTCTTGTATCTCAACCATCTGAACTTTAGTCCCACAACCGATTCTCTTCTCTTGAGGCGGCTTCATGGAGACCAACGCCTTGAGAATGTGACTCGATTGACGATGAAGGCTCCCCAAGCCCAAGGACTTGACTGGACATAGTTTAGCTTCTAAACGTATTTCAACCGTATTAGTTAGTGCGCTGGCAGTCGCGGCAAACCGTTGGGTGATCAGACAATGCGACACTGAAGGTTCTCAGAGGGCCGGGCGTTTAATTCTACCCAATCGGCTTTTCTTGTAAGTGTGAATGACCGTTCGATGCATGCCATTTTTCAAGCGGTCCGTTTCTGGACCAGCATAAGATCTCTCACTTGATTTTTCGGTGAACTGATGGCGCTTTGGTTGTGTTAGGCTTTTTCACTGGGCACAGTTGTCAACCTAGTCTGACATGCCATCCTACCCAGTCCGAATCCTTGTGCACGATCTTTAGTTTACACACCCCATTTGATTATCACAGAGGAATAGCTGCTCGCTGTCGAGCGTTTAGATCGCTTGTGTGAATGCGTAGACAACGAGGAGTTAATGACATTTTTATCGTTTTTTTACGTCATGAGTACGTACCGTGTTGGCAGATCCGAATCCAATGATTACATGTAATTACGAACTTGCTTTATGGTCATTGTTGAGCGTGAGTGGCTTTTCAACTATAACCTACTCCTAGGACAACAACTCAATTGTTGGGATTCCTACGCGATCGCATGGTTGGTTCATATTCTTACACGCTTCATCCCATTGCTTTGGCCAACTCCTGAGTCTTTTCCCTGTCTCTCTCTCTTGTCACAGATCACAAGCCATGCAACTCATACTATGATGGCGCCGCCTCCTTACAGTTCGTTGAACTTACGCAAGACTTCTCCACAGAGTACTATATTTCTTTTTCAATTCTGCAAGATTAACTCTTTGGAATAATATCTGCATTCAATACAATTTCTATTTTCGCCTTTATTGTTGTTTTAAGTAATCGCGGTGTGCTGGTTAAAAAAATCCGGCATCTCAAGTTTCTCATTCATGAAGCAAATGCGTATGTTTGATATGCCCACCGTGGAGCCAAGCGGCCGTCAACAAGTGAAAGTGTTTCTGTGTCCATCTCACGGATGAAGACTTACGGTGGACCTTAAGGTTTTCGTCTTCTGTAACTCTGGAGCTGTTAGGCTGCGCCATAAACGTACTCTATAAAGCCTTCGTGCATATAAACCGACAATCCTGCTGTTCACGGTCACACTACTCTCGTTTAAACGGTCGTGTTCCTATTCTGGCGTAATAATTCGAGTGAGTCCACACCAAAGGAAAGCACTGGACTCGAGTTTCGCTCTAATTAGAGCTCATCAGCAGTGCATATCCAATGACCGTTCCGGGATTCCTGCCTGGTTCCTGCTGTGCGTACGAGAAAAACAACGGAATTCACTTGAGCAGAAGAAGTCGGTGTGCTTATCACTTTATTCTGCAGCATGAAGTCCGTATAAAGTTACCCCGGTTTTCTCAAATATCTGAACTTCCAGTTTGAACCCTTTTGATTTGTGGGGCCATAATTCTATTGGTGTCATATGAGATGCTCTTATCATAACGAAATTCTGGTTAAGGAATTCTGCCGGGAACTGAGAACAAACGCTGTTTCCATTAATTTCACTGACCGTTTTGTCTGATAAGCAAAATACTGTCACTCAGCTAATCTAAATCAGGAAGTTCAAGGTCACACCATCCTTGCAGTATAACCGTGTTGGTCACCCAGATGGTGTGGATATCGTATTCGGTAACTTGTGCTACTTTGGACATCTCCATTGGTGCTAATAATCGGGTTTGGTACCTGACGGTCCAGCATCCAAATGCCTCGAAACAGTTATTTCTTCGAACGTGTCTAACTCGAGTGCAAATGCCACAGAGAAGTGGAGGGTCGCGTTCCGCTTCTTATTTGTAGTCCGAGGCGTTTCTGCTATTCGGTGACAGGATGCGCAACCGAGAGTTGTTTGTGAATTCCAACGTCGTTCTGGCGTAACATACGCCCAAGTCTTTACAGACTAGGTCGTCGAAGGAGCTTAAATAGACCTTCCAGCTCGTGACAATGCGTTCAACTCTTTCACCAAAAATCCCTTCTAGATAACATGTCCTTTGTTGGTAAGGGTTACATTTCATAAAGCAAAAAATATCAAATAATCTAAATAATTCCACCTCATGTTTTGGCATGCGATCCACCCCTGGAAAGTGCAAAGTGCTGCTCCAAGAATCATGCTTGTGGGTGAACCGATCGAGGTAGTAGACAAATTCTTTTACCCTGGCAGTTGTATCAGTCCTGCTGGTCTTGCAAAAGCTGATATTTCCATTTGTGATCAAGATACAATGCTACGTTCTTAGGCATTCATGGTGCCTTCAGCTAGGTTGAACTGCTCTCTGGAACTGCCCCCACCCCATGAACTGCACATCGAATCGATCCGTGAACGCATTGATGGTATCTTAGAACGAAATTCCAGGCTTTTATTGGGCTTCCGAATCACCGACGGCGTTCGCCACGTTTACCCTGTATCGCTATTCCTACTCAACTCTGTGACCGACGATGTCTTGAGAATTCCACTTAAATTGTGACGTAGATCTTCTAGGGAATTGAGCCCAGTATCTGGGCTATGCCGTTACTTCTATTGTTTGAAATGAAGGCTTGAAAGACTGGAGAAAGGACACGTATTGCTCACCAGTTGAATGTAAGACCCCTATAGAAAGCTATTTTTTCGCATACCCGTGACTTCGAATCACTAGATGCTGTGAATTGCCTTGCGTACATCCGGGTGATATAGCTTCCCAAGTAACTTCTTGTTCTGTTGAGAGAACAAGAATGGTTTTCTTGGTCTGGGTGAGTGTGCAACGCATCAGTTTAGGCTATGTGAAGGCTGGCAGTTTTGTACACGGTATTCTCAGTCGACCTTCGATGTCGTCGGAGTATCTCGTAGGTCTGCTGGCGGTTATGTGTATGCAATGAGGAACTAATTTTGGAATTGGTCGACTTCGTTCGGTAGGTCATATTCGGTGAATGCAGCAGGAACGACTACCAGAGATGGTCTTGTTCTCCTAGTCGGGTCAGCATTGAAAGAAGCCTCAGCTTTCGAAGTGGAGGGTTGTGGTACAATTCTCACGCCAACGGAGAAACACTCATCAAGGCGGTACCCTCTTAGGGTAATAGAGCTGCTGAAAACTCGGGAGGAGACGCGTTCTGCATCTTCAAATGGCAGTTCTACTCAAAAGGGAGCATTACAATGAAGTTACACTGTGATTTTGACCCAGCTTTGCCAGTTGACTGCGACGTCAACTTTTTGGAATTGTAAGTACCCATGATAAGTGGAGGGTTGTGGTACAATTCTCACGCCAACGGAGAAACACTCATCAAGGCGGTACCCTCTTAGGGTAATAGAGCTGCTGAAAACTCGGGAGGAGACGCGTTCTGCATCTTCAAATGGCAGTTCTACTCAAAAGGGAGCATTACAATGAAGTTACACTGTGATTTTGACCCAGCCTTGCCAGCTGACTGCGACGTCAACTTTTTGAAATTGTAAGTACCCATGATGGACCATGCCTCCATATTAGGGGATTTTTTCCTTGGCCATAATCCAGCCTAGGATACGTGCACATCATCTCAGATTGATGATGACGAAGCTGACACATCAGGCAGAACAATGCGCGTTAGCTCAATATCCGTCGAGCTTCCAGTAACTGCTCCAATTTCCAACGGTGCATTGAAGTATATATTATTGATAGATTGGGGTTTCTAGTTGAAATGGGTTCACTGTAGCCTGGACTTTTTATCAAAGGTTGCAAGATTATCAATTGTACCTCAGATAAATGAAGCAACCAATTGCACACCTCAAAAAGCTGTTTAAAACACCCGAATAACACTAAAATATCAGCTGCCTAGTACAGAAAGCGTGCTATGTATTTTTTGGTAGTTCTAGGTCCAACTAGGACGCACTCCCTCGCTGCTAGGAGATCTTTTGTTACCCACGCTTGTTTCCACTGGAGGAAACCACTGTATCATGTTGACGTCTGCTGGAGTGTCTTGCCGTCCGACCTAGAGCGTGAATGTTTGTGCTTAGGCAGTAGTTGGGTTCTTATGTTCTCTATTACCTATGTTCCTTGTAATGGACTCTCGAGTACAGTGACTTCTGAGTCTATGGTTCCCTATTTTACATCAGTATTTGGTATTCTACATATATATGCTTATATGTTTATGGGCGAGATGGCCCAAGTGGTTAGAGCGCGAATTTGCTGACCGGGCGATCTGAGGCTCGAACCCGACCTCTGCCTCTTGACTTCCCCTGTCTAGGCTTGGGCAATCTGGCAGTATCCCAGCCCTCATTCTTCTTTCGGGTAACTTGGCAGTTGGGCATAGAAAGGGTGTCACAGCTGAACGATCTTCTATACATATATATATATGCTTATATATATATATATATACAATATGTAAACTCTATCGCCAGTGTTCACACAATCCATCCGTAATATTCAGATGTAATACACACTTATGGCCCACTATCAAGTTCCTAGGAAAAAAATCCAACACCGTGGAGGTCTGAGTTGCCGACTGACTCACTATGATGCAGTCGATAATGGACGTCTTTTCCAGACACCTGAATTCACTCAGTATCGCAGTAAGATAGCCGATCAAGTTATGTCTGACCGACAGTTCCGAAGAATGCACGTGACACTGGCTAGTTGATTGGCTTTGATAAGAAGAGAACAGATATTCCAACATCCAACAAACAGTTTATTTCCTGTACTGGGGACATCTGTCTTCAGAATTCGTGATCCAAACTAATAGAAACAGAAGGGTGACCTCTGCCATCTCCGTAGTGCACATTTCGCACTCTACAGGTCCATCCTCGCTCATTAGGTTCGGGTATCCCGCCGGGTGGTTTGAACCTTCCTAGTTCCCACCCACACTGCGGTGCTCAGTCTTCCAGACCGAAAACGACTTGTATTACTGCTTGGAAATTATTAAACTTGGAATAATTGTCTCAATTTGTGCAGAAATACTAAGTTTCTGTTTGACGCTTCACTAATCACTTGCGAAGCACTTGACAGTCGACGGCCGATCTTGCCCCTCTCGAGGCTTATCAGGTGGACACAGCCCGCGAGTCTCCCGTTAGAACTAAACTGACTCGTCAATGGGTGTTTTTCGCGGAATTGTAGTGGTAAAAATTACTGATCTGGAAAGATTACAGTATCCAAATGCCCTGTGGCATTCTTATCAGATCCGGATACTAAACTGGTAGAAGTACATCTGCAAAATGATGGAGTGCACAATCAGCCATTAAGTAACTCACTGAAATAACCGGCCTAGTTTCCAGGAGTGGTAATTTTGCCGGATAACTACCGGAGAGGTCCGCTCAGTTAAAATCCTACCTTACTTTCTGGGTACATTTGCATGGTGGCTGAGGAAAGCAGACAGAAAACAATCTAATCTCTCAACAACGGACTGTCCCTAATTTGGCTGTGGTTACTGAACACTGCTGGCAAGTGTGTGGAATTGGTCCAGCAAAATCGGGAAGCTCAACTTGAACTCTGTTCTCTAGTTGAGGGTTACTCAAAATGGACAGCTTTGGGCAGCGATTCCATAGCAATTGGCAAGATATGGAAGCATGACTGAAATGATCGCCGCATTTTGGCTCTTCCGCATACGGAGATCACCAATACAGTTTGGTAACATCGATCCCTTCTTAGGAATGTTCGCTGTTCGAGGTACGGGAATGCTAATCTCCTTGATGGTACAAGTGGAGTGATTCGGTGCTTTGATCCAGACAGCGGAACTTGTACATGATCCACTGCCCGATACCGACGAACGAAACCCTATGCCCAACGCGCAACCGAGGATGTAGCTCTCTCGCACCGTCCTCCTGGCTTGCATTCATGAAACTGGATGTAGGAGGCAGGGGAATCTTACGCCTGTTG